GGACATTCATGTCGAGAACACAAGATGATTAAATGCTCGGAACCATTTACACTAATTTTTTCCCCTTAATTTTAAAGTAATAAATTGCTTATTATATAGCCCTATTAGTAAGAATTAAAATTTAGATTTTAATGTAAGTTCAAGTGAACAATTAATTTTAGAGTAATATTATTCAATATCACCGATATTTAATACCAATTTATATGATATTACTTGTGTTATTAAATTATGATTAATGCATTCATAGCGAAAATAACTAGCATACATATGACAGTGTTATTTAATGTATTAGTGTGATAGTTTTTTATTATCTCATGTATCAAATAACAAACTGACATGTGTATGACACGTAGAGCTCATGTATCAAAAAACAAACTGACATGTGTAAGACATATAGAGCGATTATTAATAATTTTCACTATAAATAACATTATTTTTAAATTATACGTTCAATTAAATACAAAAATTTATGATTCAATAAATAACCGTATTTACACCTAAATTGGTGTTCCAACACTAATGATGTTAGATAATATTATTTTTAATTTTAATTATATATTTGATGAGATTCTTAATTTTGTATTTATGTCCCTGTTTTGTGCACATTTTGAGTTCAAAAATGTATTTTTGTTTGATATGATGGGAATAAGTGGTTGAAAAAGAAGGAAAAAATATCGATGTAATGAAAAATATTATTTTATTGAAAAATATATGATTAAAAATGAGTAGAAAAATGAAAATGAAAAAAATAATGTCGCGCTATATCTCATCAATTTTTATTAAATATATTAACAAATTGATTTGAATATGATAGGTACGAGACAAATGAGGGGATAAATTGTTTTGACTTTTCGATTTGATGGGGACTGCCTACCCTATTCTACAGCTGTCTTTGCCTTTATTTGACGGCCCCCTCATTTTGGCCCATACATCCTTTCACTTTTAATTTTTGCCCACACAATCATTCTTGGAATTGGGATTTAGTCAATGTTTAATAAATTAGCATTTATTTAACTCTCATTATTTTCAAAAAATATATTTTTTATTTTATTTTCAATTACATATTTTTAATAAAATAACAAACACATAAATTCAAAATTTTTTTTAACCACATATTTTCCATCGAAATAGTATTTCGAAATGTATTTTGAGAAAAAAAAATCTCAAACGAGCTTTTAATAAAATTTGTGCTCTCAAAGTTAATACCCTAATAAATAATTTTTGATATGACCTTAGTTTTTAAAATATATTTTCAATCAAATATTGTTATAAATTCATAATTTTTATCAATATTTCACTGATAAGCTTTGTTGACGTCGAAAATTGTATGAACAAAATTCAAGCCAACTTAGAGTGTAAATGGGGATTTTTACTGATAATGACTTGTAAATTACAATAGTAAACTACAAGTGTTTTTCTTTTGTTTTGTCAAAAGAAATATTCAAAGTATGGATAATGTAGGAAGGGTTCTCATGAGTTCAAGTTGTCTTTTCTTCCTTCATTATTCTCTCTTTTATAGAAGAAAATATACATACTTCATTAATTACCTATCTTGTCATCTGCAATTCCGAGCTGAAGAAGTACACACAGTGAAATGATCCCATTGGCCTCCGAGCTCGATCTAATAGTCATGATGGACAAATCTCACGGGTGGATTTTAGCCATTAATGAAGTAAGCTTTGGGAAGGGAGCTTAACTCTTTGATCAGAGCTTATGTAAGCATTGATGTAAGATCGTTCCTTGTGGATCCCTCTGATTGGCTGGTTTGTTGATTTGTGTCGGTGATCTGTAATCATTAAAACCTCCTTAAAAGACTACACGATCATTCTGGTATGCCAATCACCATAGCCGAACTCACATTGTAGAGCGTACGTACTTTAATCTGATTTGTCCGACCTTAGAGCTCAGTTCGTCAGCTGAGTTCATCAGCAATGGGAAGATTTTGATTGGTTTAAATGAGCTTGACTGTGTCAGACCATCATGAGTTTAACTTTACAGGTGGTTTGCTGTAATTAATGAATTACTCCGGGGAGGAAGCCTAAAGCATATGATTGGTGGAGTTAGGAGGTACTGTCATGAGTCTATCCAAATGTAATTGATTAATTGGACGGTTGACAGTGTGTAAGGAATCTTCAATCATTATGTCTCTCTGAGTCCCGAACTGACCTCACATGTCCAACCTCATATTAGTAGGAGCTTAGCTGACCTCACATATCCAACCTTATGTTAGTATAAGCTTAATGCATGTATCCAACTGTATTTAATGAGGTCGGCTTACCACCAAGTCGGTGCTTCCTAGTAAGGTCGGATATCAACAAGCTTCATGAACTTTTATCGAGATTTACTAAATATTAATTTTCATCTAAACCAAACAGGAGCTGAATATAGTTTTATAAATCCAACCGTGTTCTACATGCATAATTTTGTAACATCTTCATGATGGCCTCACGACTATGCAAGTGCTATGACACCTTCATCCGATGTTTTTCTCACAAGTAATTTATTGTTCCTTTTCTGGATTCAAGAGGGTATTGGGTAAAATTGAAAGTTGGACTTTGCTACAGATGTATCAAGGGTTACATCAAAGATTACATAATTTACACGTGGCACTATGTCATTGGTTGAGGGAAAAAAAACAATTTCCTCCTATTAATGACAGAATGCCACATATAAATTATGTAATCCTTAATGTACAAATAGAATAACCCTTAAAGTTTATCGATGACAGTTGCAAGTTCATATTCTACTATTATTTTTTCTTGACATTCTTCAATTTCTTGATTTTCTTCTTCAAATATATATTATTTTTCGAAGTAGACGTTAACAAATTAATAATATATGTCAATTAATAAATTATTGTGCAACTGATCGTAGTCAAACAATTTTTTAATTAAGATATATATATATATATA